CAAGGGCGGGATATAAATCCAATCTCTTATCTTCTTCTTCTAAGCACACTATATTGTGTGAAGTAGTACCTTTTTTTGCCTATCTGATTCCTGACAGACTTCAAAGGGCTAGCTTTACTTCTGTTTTGGGCAGGGGTCATTTCTTGCAGGAGCGGACCTCCGGCAGTAAAGAGCCCAGGGGGCGGGCACATGCAACAAGCCCCACCCCCTGCTCCCAGCCGCCATCAGTCAGAGCAAGCAGCAGCCAGGTAAGTTGCAGAGGGCCCCCCCCAGCCCAAAACAGTCCAGTAACACCTTTAAGACCAAGTTTTATTCAGGTACAAGCTCTCCCTCCTCTGCGAGGACAGAGCTGCACGTTCCCCCCCCCAATAGCTAGTAATCCAAAAAAGTCCAGTGGAGCCTGAGTGGTGGCGGTTGCCTTCTGCCACACTTCCGGTGATGTCAGGGGGTGTGGCATATGCAAATAAGTTATGCTAATGAGCTCCTGTACCTCTTTTTCTATGAAATGACCCCTGGTTTTCAGGCTTTCCTACATTTTTATTTTCCTCGCTTGTATGTTCCTGTTGCTTGGGGTGTGTGTGTGTGTGTGTGTGTGTGTGTACTGTACATGTTTTGCTCCCTCTAGAGGTCGATTCGATATGACATCACTATGTACCGTATAGATCAGGTTTTTATGCCGGACACAAAGCGATAATGTATCAAATTGACCACTAGAGGGAGCAAAGCGTGTGCAGAACAGGGGGAAAAAATATCCGAAACAACAGAAATACATACATGAGGAGAATGTGGAAAACCCCTTTATGAGAAAGAGGAAAGATGGACAGAAATCTAGTGGCACCTTAAAGATTAAAGGTAAAGGTTTCCCTTGCTCGAAAGCCAGTCAAATCCGACTCTAGGGGGCGGTGCTCATCTCCATTTCCAAGCTGAAGAGCCAGGGCTGCTCGGTGACATTTCTGTAGTCATGTGGCTGTAAATTTAATTTTTTTCCTGTAAAATGGCAATTTTATCCCCCCTCTTAAGTATTCAGAATATCCCTTCGGTAACAAATGGACAACCAAATAATGTTCACGCAGAGAAGGAAGATAAGGTGGCCATACTACCAAATTACACCAACGGAAACCCAGGAGTCCAGTTTGTCAGGGGGAACAGTTACTCATGTCCTCCTGTTCTGCAGATTCTATCAGGAGGAACGAGACCATCTTATATTACCCCTTCTGTCTAGATTTAGCCCTCTGCAGTCTTATCTTGCCTTTAGGCCAGAAGTCCTTCGTAAATTCCTCCTAGAAGATATTCAGAGCTCAGTGACTTACGCTATGGCAAAATTTTGTTGCTTAGCTATAAGGAAACGTAAACTTATTTTAGCTGAAAAAATTGTATGATTCTCTTATTAATATTTTTTTCTTATTAATCTTCTCTTGTTAATGTTTTTATACTATTCTTATGTTATTATTGTTTTAATCTTTCTTATATCAGAATTGTACTGTTTTACTGGCTCTTGCTGTAATAAATTAGATCTAATTAGATCAAAGCAGGTCATGTGGCTGAGGTGCACGGAACGCTGTTTCCTTCCCACCAAAGCGGCACCTATTTATCTACTTGCAATTTCTTGCTTTCGAACCGCTAGGTTGGCAGGAGCTGGGGCCAGAGACGGGATCTCACTCCATCATGCGGCACTCGGGTCTCGAACTGCCGACCTTCTGGTCCGCAGCTCAGCATCTTAACCACTTGAGCCACCGTGGCCCCCTCACCTTAAATCTTAACAAGATTTTATTTCAGCATACCCTCACTTCTTCCAATGCCGTGAGTCCCTACTAGGCAGGTGTTTCTATATGAGGTTATGAATCATTCTCTTCTCCATGTTGTTGTATGTTTTTGTAAATGTCACCCCCTCTCCGTCTGGACAAGATTCCTTATTTTAGCTTCCCCATGTATTAATGTGGGTTTCTCCTTGTTGGGGCTGCGACGTTTCTCTATGCAACTAGCAACTGCACCCATTAGAACATAACCTGGCTACGGTATGCAATAGCTAGTTCCCAATGTGGAAAAAAGAGAAGAGTCACACCACCCAATCATGGTATATATCAAGTTTATATAATATTTGCAGATCCAAAGGCTAAATTGCATTTGGCGGCAATGATAAAGTAAACACAGCGCATTTGCCAGGATGAGATTCTCTTCCCACCCCCAACACCGTCAGCATTTCCCACTGTTTTACATGGCTCCTCGCAGCTTATAAAACGGATAACTCTGATGCCGCGGAGATCACTGTCCCGGTGTGGTGCCGCTGCCTACCTGCAGGAAACTGCTCTGTCGATACCTGCATCGGTGCTACAGACGGAACTCCACAGTCGACAGCTGTTGCCGTTCCCCCCTCGGAGGTAGCTGTCTATTACCGAGCGAGCGATCTGTAACTGGGGGACAGAAGAAGGCAGGCAGGCGGCAGCTGCTGCGAGCGCTAATTGTAATTAACTAACAAGCCAAAGCCAATGAACAATTCTCTCTTGCATCCCCAGACGACGTCAGTTGCAGGTCTGCTCTCTTCTTCAGCGATGTGCTGAAGAACTTGAGGACGACAGACGTTCCAGTCCCGGTGCTGACCGAGCGGCCCATTTGGGTGTTTCTCTTGATGCCCAGGCTTTCACCACAGAGAAGAGAGCAACACCATATCGGTATTATACGCCTCCTGTTCAAAACATGGCTTTCAGTCTGGTACTTGGACGTTCAGGGCGGCATATCGTTTTTTATTTAGGCCTGCCACCGGGGCTGTCTGCTCCAGCTGGGTCCCCCGCAGTTGGAACAATTCCTCGCGGGATTCGTGCGCAAAGACAGAGTGACGTTTGAGCCGTGTCGGCGGAGGACAGACTCACCGGGTGGTGGTTATCCCCACTGTTTTTTGCAAGCCGGACGGAAACAACACAGATTCCCTTGTAAAATCTCAGGCTGTGCCCCTCTTAGCATGCGTGACAGGAGCGAGGGCTTGTTCTGGCTTCGGCTCCTGTGGCAGAACATTTGTGCAGACCTTTCCGTGCCAGTTACAAGCTCCCTTCTCTAGGGCCTGGTCTCCTGTTAACAGATGGCGTGGGAAACAGTACTCTGACTCTCAAGATACATCCACAGATAAACTTGGCTGATTCACTTCCATCCGCTTCTCCAAATGTCAGAATTTCACTCGAGACAAGCCGGCCCTTTCTGTAAGTTAAGTGTGCGTTTCCCTCTCTTCGTAGGCTGTGACCCCAAGAACCACATACAGTTCTGTGTGTGCCGGAAGGATTCAAGACCCTTAACGGTCAGGGACCCACATATCTTTGGGACCACCTCTCCCGGTATACCCCCAGAAGTGCACTGTGCTCAGTAGATCAGAACTTACTGGTGGTCTCCAGCCCGAGGGATGTCCGGCTGTCGTCGACCAGGGCCAGGGCATTTTCCGCCCTGGCCCCAACCTGGTGGAACTCTACAGACTACAGATGTTGAAACTCTACAGATGTTGGAAAACATCTGTGCCCTACGGGACTTGATGCAGTTCCGCAGGGCACGTGAGGCAGAGATGTTCCGCCAGGAATTTGGTTGAGGACAGCGATGGTCTCATCTTCCTGGCACTCCTGTCCCCTGCCCCCCCGTGCGGCAGTGGAACTACTGGACTTCTCTAGCGCCATCTTTTAGCTTGATCAGTATGTTTTTATTGTTTTAAACCATTTTGATATATAACGTATGAATATACTATGTTGTACACCGCCCGGAGCCCTGCCTTGGCAGAGCGAGGGCGGTCTAAGATCTCAAAAAACTGGCATCTGTGGACACTCATCGACCACACTGCAAAGCAAACTGTTATTTAAAACAAAAACAAAACTAAGGCAATTGTCAAAACCAGATGAGACAAGCGTGTGTGCTCTCTCGCGCTAGTCAAACAGTAAATCCCAAGCGTTGATGCTTCCTGGAACTAACACTTTTTCTTCCAGTGAAAACTAGTAGCGCAAAGTCCCTTGCAAGAAAACTCTTACACCTGTGATTGCCTCTTTGCATTGCTTTGCTTTAGTAGACAAGCAAGATCATTGAGAACGAGAATGACCACACAAGCAGCGAGCCACAGCGATGCAAAACATTCATGATCGAGACAAGAGAAAAAAAAGAAATGGACTTGCTCAAACCGTTTCCTCCAGGTAAGGGTTAGAGTGTGCAGGATTTTCACCTACTGGGCTGAACGGAACTTCCGGAAAGAGCCGAACAACGGGCTTCCCGCCACTGTGTGTGTCATAAAACAATGCAGGGGTGCTCTTGGGGCAGAAGGTGCATGTGCCATGTGGATGGTACATTGCCTCCAAATGGCACTCAACACCAGGTAACTAGCCAGCAAAGCTCCTCTCTTAAGCAAACTGAAGTCAGCTTTCAATAATATGCTTCCTTGTAAGCCCTGCCTCGGCCTGAGGTCTTGGGGCTAGTTCTCACAAACAGCAGAATGAATTGTGCTAGGAGGTGTCTCACTTCAGAATGCAGTATGTGTGTGGGGGGAAGCACATGTGTTTGACTGCTCCGTGCCAAGGGACTAACCTGTCGGGGAAAAGGTTTCCTCCAGCCTGGCTTTCTCACTGCACTCTTGTCCTGTACGTGAAGGGGACTTTTTTATACAGAGGAGCGTTCCTGTGAAGTCCCCACCTGCAGTATGAAGTGGTACAGCCCAGAGACACTTCGGGAAAGCACGCGACCTCCCGCTCTCCGTCCAAGTTCTGTTCTGCGCCCACGGGAGTTCCAAGTCCCCCTAGCATATAAACAAGTTTGCTTGGCCTTCAGAATCCCATTTCCGCATCAACAGGTTGGATCCTCTGGATCCGCTCCGCTAGTCGAGGAGCTTTCCTCCAGTGGAAGTAACCTCCCCCTGAAGGAGACCCTTCCAAGCATCTTGCTTCGGGATGTTGCCTTCCACCAGACGAAAACCACTTCTGCTAGCGGATCGGATCTGACCGATCCAACCCATCCAAGGATCTTTCTCTGCACTTTCGAGAACCAAGTCCCCCTGGCGTATAAAACAAGTTTGCTTGGCCCTCAAAATCCCATTTTCGTACCAACAGGTTGGATCCCCTGGATCTGTTTCACTAGTCGAGGAGCTTTCCTCCAGCGGAAGCGACTTTCCCCCGAAGGCAGAGACCCTTCCGAGCATCTTGCTTCGGGATGTTGCCTTCCACCAGCGGAAAACCACTCCCGCTAGCGGATCGGATCTGAGTGATTCAACCCATCGTACGGCATTGTACTCAGACCCACTGATCTTGACTCATCCACCCCAGTTTCCAAACAACAGCTGTCCTTAAGGCAGAGGGGCAGGCGGGTCTGTTGCTGCTATTACTGAACCTCCCCCCCCCCAAATTCCCCGCCCAGCTCTATCCTTCCACAAGCGCTGCGTGAAGCACCCGCTCCGCATCCTCCGACAGTTCCACCACGACTTGCTTCAACATCCCATAAGTGGACTCGAAGGAGATCTCGGGTTCCGGGTTGGTCCCCCGGCCGTGGAACGGCACGTAGTCCCAAGCCCACGTGAACAGCGAGACCGGCTTGACGATGAGACTCAGCACGTATTCGGAGTCCAGCGGCTTAGCGAAGGGGCTTCGGATCTGATCCTGAAGCAGCCTGAGTGCTTTGCCGGTGACCTGTGCGGTGAGCGCCAAGGACTCCTGGTCCAGGCCAAGGTCTATGCAGAAGCTGGCGATGTTGGTCATGAGGTTCTTGGTCACGTCCTGGTCCGGCTTCTCCACGCAGCAGAGGCAGACCTCCAGGGCCTTCACCCACACGTCCTTCATCAGCACTTTGGACTTCCGCCTCACCAGCCGGGAGAGGACGGTCGGGATGGCTCTCCGCAGAGCTTTCCTCTTCAGGTCGGGAGCGCTACGGCTCAGGGCTTCCTGGAGGAGGGGGAGATCGTAGGCCTCCTGGGCGAGGCTGGAGACCAGGAAGACCTGTGGGGAGAGGACGCCGTCCTTCTTCAGGGCCTCCGCGCAGCTCTCCCGCACCTGTTCCTGCAGCTCTTCTTTAGGGATGGGCTGGCTCCCGGGCCGGGTCTCCAGGTCCACGTCTATCTTGCTTCGTACGAAGAAAGCCTCCTTCCCGGCTGCGGCGATGGCCCTGGCCAAGCAGCTGTGGGCGTGCTTATAGCGCTCGGAGGCCACCAGGAGAAAGAAGTCGTAGCGGCTGAGGTCCAGGTGCCTCACGTCCTCCTCCGTCACTCCGACTCCCGGCAGGTCCCAGAGGTACAGGTAGGGGACGAGCGGAAGCGGGTAGACGGTGGCTTTCCTCGTCGTCCCGGTCACCCCAGTGGGGGCCGCACCCGACTCTCCAGCGGCCACGCCTCTCAGGGCGTTGACCAGCGAGGACTTCCCGCAACCGGCTTCTCCGATCACGGCGACGTCCAGACGGATCTGCGAGGGCTCTTCCAGGGCCGAGGAGATCACACCCGGGACTTCTGCCAAGCTGCCGCTCTGGCAGATGTTGTACAGCTCTTCGATCTTCTTTGGGCTCACGGCGGTCACGTCTTCCAGGTCCCCGCCATGGCTCCTAGGAAGAAAACATGGAGAAGGGGGGTGACAAACAGCTCACTGTCTCTTCAAGCCTTAGTCCAGGGCCAGAAACCAATAAGGTCTGGCACCGGGCAAAGAGCATTCGAATGCCAGGGTGCCACCACCGAGAAGTCCCTGCCTTGTTCAACCCACCCGCCTCGCCTCGAACGAAGGGGGAACCTGAGAAAAGGCCTCTGATGGAGATCTTAATTCTCAAGGTCTCAATTCTCAATGAAATTTGGGGGAGGGACTGTGTGACGGTGGAATGAGCCTCTGCTTGACATGCCGATGGCCCCAGGTTCAATCCCTGGTATCCCCAGTTCAAAGAATCAGGTCTTAGGTCAGAGGTAATGGGGATTGGGCGGTTCATAAGTTATTATTATTATTATTATTATGAAGATGCCTGGGATGAAATGTGGGACCCTCTGCATACCAGGCAGATGCTCTACTATGGAGTCACAGCCCCTTTCCTTAATGAGAGCACGTGAAGCTGCCTTCCACTCAGTCAACCCACTGGTCTCTCAAAGACAATATCGCCTAATCTGACTGACAGTGGCTCTTTAGGGTCTCAGACAGGGGTATTTCAAACTATCTACAGCGGAGGTGTCAAACTCAGTTGTTAGGAGGGCCGGATCTAACATAAATGTCACTTTCTCGGGCTGGGCCATGTGTGCCATAAAATGTAATGCCAGGTACCAGAGATATAAATTGTGCATATAAGACAGCGGCTCGTAAGCTCCAAGTTGGTGTATTCTCCCTGCAAGATCCCTTAGACTGGGGGGGGGTTGCAGAGGAAAACCCACATGGGTGGACTGGAGAGGTAGCAGTGCAGCACTGGGCAGATACCCCCACGATGCTTGACTGCTGCAGATGAGGTTCTTCTGCTGGGTTGAAGCCACAATCGAATGGCTCCCCCCACTCCCCCCCAACACTCCCTCGTTTACACCAGTGGCTCGCGGGCCACATAAAAGCCATAGATGGGCCAGTTCCGGCCCCCAGGCCTTATGTTTGACATCCCTGTCTTAGGTGATGTGAAAGACCCTCTGCCTGAGACCCAGGAGAACCGCTGTCAGTCTGAGCAGACAATACTATGATACATCAGTGGTCGGATTCAGTATAAGGCGGCTTCGTGTGTTCCTTTGTTAGGGAGGGGCCGTGGCTCAGCAGCAAAGCATATTTTTTGGCATGCCGAAGGTCCCAGGTTCAGTCCCCAGCATCTCTACTTAAAAGGACCTTTGGTTGAGGACAGCGACAGCTTCCATCTTGGCTGGCGCCCTCCTCCTCTCTTTCCACCAGATTATTTTATTCCTCATCCCCATACCCACGAGGTAGCCGCAATCCGGAATTGGGAAGAAACTGTCATTTCACCACTTGATATTTTTTGGATTGCTGGATTAACATTATTGAGGTGCTTACTTTATGGTTTTAATCTTTTTATTATGTGTTGTCAGAGGTCATTTCCTGCAGGCGCGCACAGGAGCGGAGCTCCGGCAGTACAGAGCCCAGGGGGCGGGCACATGCAACAAGCCCCACCCCCTGCTCCCAGCAGCCCTCAGTCAGACCAAGAAGCAGCCAGGTAAGTTGCAGAGCCCCCCCTGGTCCAAAACAGTCCAGTGGCACCTTTAAGACCAAGTTTTATTCAGGTACAAGCTTTCCCTCCTCTGTGAGGACAGATCTGCGCGTCCCCCCCCCCAATAGCTAGCAATCCAAAACAGTCCAATGAAGCCTGAGCGGCAGGCACTTCGGGTGATGTCAGGGGGTGTGGCATATGCAAATAAGTTATGCTAATGAGTTATGCTAATGAGCTCCTGCACCTCTTTTTCTACAAAATGACCCCTGTGTGTTGTACATCGCTCAGAGCCCTGCGGTAGCGAGGATTGGGCGAGTCATAAGTTTAATTTTATTATTGTTGTTGTTGTTTTGTTGATGATGATGATAACAACAACAGTAATAATAATAATAATAATAAGTGATGTGAAAGAGGTCGGCCTAAGATCCTAGAAAGCCACTGTCAGTCTGAGTAGAAAATACTAACCTTGATGGACCAAGGGTCTGATCCAGATCAAGACAACTTCATATATATATATATATATGTTCAAGTTAGTTTTGGTATTTCTGGTGCGAAGCTTCTCAAAATCCCAGAAGCTTTGGTATCCCCAAGGTTCCCCCCCGCCCCCTTCCTTCCTTCCTTCCTCACCTCTTCAAGCTGAGCACCTCCCCTTCCAAGCCGTCCTCAAAGTATCTGAACTCGTATTTCTCCGCCTCTAGCCCCGACACCAGGAAGACCTTCTTGGTGTCCATCCGGTGGTTGGCCAACGTCTCCGTCAGCTCCTTCCGGATCAGGCCCAGTCGCTCGCCGGGGTTGTACTTGAAGCGGAGCCGCCTCTTGGCCGTGTGCAGATCCAAGTCCACTTTGGTGCGCGCCAGGAGGCAGGTCTTCCCCTTCTGCTTGACGGCCTTCATGACCTGCAGGTGGGTGTCTCCCAAGCTTCCGCTCACCACCACCACGAAGCAGCTGTACTTGCTCAGGTCGCCCAAGCGCTTGAGATACGCGGCCGGCTTCTCGGACGCTTCGAAGCCGGGGAGGTCGCACAGGGTGAGGTTGGGGTAGGTCGGATGGACGTGCGCCTCCAGCTGTTTGGTGGGCTCTGGAGTCTCCCGGAAGTAAGCCCAGGGATCGTTCACCCGGCGAGGTTTATCCAACAGAGCCTGGACCAGCGTGCTCACCCCTGCTCCGCGCCCCCCCAAGAAGCCAACCTTTATCTTGAGGGTGGTAACGCAATCCACCAGCTCCTGGATTTGGGAGGCAGTGCCCTTGGCATTCTGGGCCTCGTACTGGGCCTTGAGGTTTCTCAGCTGTGATTCGTCCAAACAGGCCATGATGGAAACTGCGGGGAGAATGAAGAAAGGGCGTGTTATGCAGCACAGCGGATGGGTGACCAGGGCTCTTTTTGTAGAAAAAGCCCAGCAGGAACTCATTAGCATAATAGGCCACACCCAACAGCAGGAACTCATTAGCATATTAGGCGACACCCTGACAGAACAGCTCATTAGCACATTAGGCCGCACCCCCCATGTTACCAGAAGTGTGGTCATCCAGCCACACCCACCTTTTGCTTGTTATTCTGTTTACCTTGTTTGTTGTCAAAACCCAGGGGTTTTTTTGTAGCAGGAACTCCTTTGCATGTTAGGCCACACACCCCTAATGTAGCCAATCCTAATGAGTTCCTGCTGTTGGGTGTGGCCTATTATGCGAATGAGTTCCTGCTGGGCGTGGCCAACTTGGGAGCCAGCTGGAACTCCGTTCCTGTGCGTTCCTGCCCAAAAATAGCCCTGGGTGAGAGAGAGAGAGAGAGAGAGAGAGTTTTTTCCACGTGTCAGGTGAGGCCCCATAGGGAGTCCCGGACAGTTGTTTCTCAAGCCTTCTCTTCTCTCTTTTGTTGCCTGCTTTCCTGTTCATCTTCCTGCACCGAGATTCTTTTTTGCAGTGCCAGAGAGAGGCAGTCCCAGCCAAGGCTCCCTCTAAGCTGCGGAGACTTGTGAGCAAAAATTCTACTTTGTGAGCTGCCGGCATTCAAGTTGTGAGCGAGCCATTTGGCTGCTGCATCAATTAGTTTGCTCGGGAGCCGTCCCTTCCTGAGCTGAGACAAAAACGTGTGAGCCGGAGGCTAAAAAACGGTGAGGTCGCTCACACTAACTCAGCTTAGAGGGAACACTGCAGTCACAAAGTGCATACTGGACCTGTCGGATTCCTGCCTGTTGCTCTGCTAAAAAGCAGAATGTGGTAAGTCTCCTCCCTCTGCCACCAAGATAGGTGGTGGGTTCTTTTGTTTTAAAAAATCGGAAGGCGAGCTAAGCCAAATCTGCAGTCTCAACGGCAGCAAAGCCCTGTTTTCACTCGATCCAGTTCCATTTCAGGAAACTGCATGCGAGAAAGCCCCGAGTTACTAGTCCTTCAGGTCAACCCTGGAAGCCGGTGTGATGTCGCAGATACAGTCATGGACACTGGGTAACCCAGATTCGAATCCCCGCTTCTCTCACAGACGCTCGCAGGGTGATCTTGGGCCAGTCACAAACTCCCCCTTTGGCTTACCTGACAGGGTTGTGGTTGCAGGAGCACTGGGAGAGGGGAAAACGATCTTCTAAGCTGCTTTAGTCCCAACCAGGGAGAAAAGGGGGCTATAGATAAATGCAAACGCAGCCCCAAGAGGGGGGGGTCAACACCAGTGTTCCCTCTAAGCTGAGTCAGTGTGAGCTAGCTCACAGGTTTTTAGCCTCCGGCTCACACATTCTTGTCTTCGCTCAGGAAGGAGGGCTCCAGAGCAAACTAATTTATGCAGTAGCCAAATCCCTCGCTCACAACTTTCATGCCAGTAGCTCACAAAGTAGAATTTTTGCTCACAAGACTCCACAGCTTAGAGGGAACGTTTGCAACACTCCCTCCAAGAGCTTCAGCCACCAGCTCTTCCCAGAAACCCATTACATTTTTTTTTTAAAGCACCTGTGTATTAATTGGGCATTGAGGCAGCTGGGTAGGTAATGGGTAGGATGAAATCGGCTGGGTACTGTAGTTTTGGAGTTGCGGTGGCTCAAGTGGTTAAGATGCTGAACTGCAGGCTGTGGAAGGTCGGTAGTTCAGCAGTTCGAGACCCGAGTGTGCCACATGACGGAGTGAGCTCCCGTCTCTAGTTCCAGCTCCTGCCAACCTAGCAGTTCGAAAGCAAGAAATTGCAAGTAGATAAATAGGTACCACTTCGGTGAAAAGGGAACAGCGTTCCGTGCGCCTTGGTGTTTAGTCATGCCGGCCACAGACCACGGAAACGTCTTCGGATAGCGCTGGCTCTTCGGCTTGGAAACGGAGATGAGCACCACAACCCTAGAGTTGGATTCGACTGGCTTTCGAGCAAGGGAACCTTTACCTTTACCTTTTAAATAGGTACCACTTCGGTGAAAAGGGATCAGCGTTCCATGTGCCTTGGTGTTTAGTCATGCCAGCCACATGACCACGGAAATGTCTTCGGACAGCGCTGGCTCTTCGGCTTGGAAACGGAGATGAGCACCGCAACCCTAGAGTCGGATTCGACTGGCTTTCCAGCAAGGGAACCTTTACCTTTACCTCACTGTAGTTTTAAGCTCCGCCAGCCGACTTCCAACCTAACAGAGCTCAAAGGAAAGAGACCTAGCTAAAGGGAAGAGAGACCAGCCCGGAAAGGGAAGAGTTTGGGGGAACCTTAGAATCCGCCCTTTCTAGAGGAAGTAAAACCAAACCACCCAACCATGACCCCCTTCCAAGAACCAAAAAAAACCCGGCTAGTATTTCCTGCTGCTGCGCTGGCCTGGGAAATGAAAGAAAACAACTCCTTTTGTCTCCCTCCACCAGCAAACCTGAGAACCCAGGAGAGAGCCCCGCCCAACCCCTTTTCTCCAAAAGGACCCAGGCGTGTCCCGGCTCTGGAGCCCCTTTCCCCTACCTAACCCCCCTCCCCACTGAGGTTCTGGCCCCCAGCCACCCCCTTTCCTGACATATCCTTTACCTAGGGTTGGCAGATTCCTGGAGACCTGAGGATAGGGATGCCAGCAATGGGCTGGAAAATACCTGGAGATTTGGGGGGGGTGTGTGGGGAGCCTGGGGAGGGGGGATTTGGGGAACCAGGGACCCCACCTGTCTACAGTATCACGGAGTCCACCCTCCAAGGCAGCCATTTCCTCCAGGGGAACTGATCCCGGTCGCCTGGAGCTCAATTGCAATCGCGGGAGATCTCCTGGTGCCACCTGGAGGTTGACAACGCCTTCCGGGGCGAGGCAAGGTTCGGGCAGGGGAGCGACCAAAGCACCCCTTTCCTCCAGGGGAGCTGATCTCTGCCGCCCGGAGATCTCCAGGCCCCGCCTGGAGGTTCAAACCACCACCACCAAATTACTAATATTTTGGTTTTCTTTATACCTGCTCGTGGATCTTTTGCCATTTACCCACCCGGAGAGGTTGGCGACCCCTACCTTTGCCCGCCCGGTGCGGCCGGCCGATCCTTTTGGCGCAGATCCCCTCCTGCCTCCCCCGGGGTAGCGCGCAAGAGACGCCCCTTGAGCGCAGCCGGGGAAACAGAAACCTACGGGGGTCGGAGGCAGAAGGACGCGGCTCCTCCTCTTCCTCCGAAGCCGCCTCCTTCTGACGTTTCCGGGCGGCGATCGGTAGACAAAGAGGAGCGGCGCCGGTAATCCGCTGGAGCCGACGGGGGTCGCTGGTTAGCAGGTGCGGAGAGGATTAAAAGGGGCGGGTGGGTCTCTCTGCGCCCTGGAATAGGTGCCGTCGGGTGCGGTCGCAGAGCGCCCTCCATCCGCGCCCGATCCGCCCTATTCCTAATAGCCCGTTTCGGGGATGTACTAAAAGGAAGGACAGGACTGCCCATTGGAAACAATGGGAGACGCTGGAAGGCCCATTGGAAATAATGGGAGCCAGGATTGCCAATTGACTTGCCTGGGCTCCCTTGGAAAAGATTAGGGCACAAGTAGAGTTGCAATAAAAACGCGGAATGGGTTTTCCATTAGGGTCTCTGGGCCCAAATTTGAATCTTTTGGGTTTGGTAGGATAGCAGATTGCATCCGCTGACATTTCGTAGATCCCCGTTTCGGGGATGTACTAAAAGGAAGGACAGGATTGCCCATTGGAAACAATGGGAGACGCCGGAAGGCCCATTGGAAATAATGGGAGCCAGGAATGCTATTGACCTGCCTGGGCTCCATTGGAAAAGATTAGGGCACAAGTAGAGTTGCAATAAAAATGCGGAATGGGTTTTCCATTAGGGTCTCTGGGCCCAAATTTGAATCTTTTGGGTTTGGTAGGATAGCAAATTGTATCCGCTGACATTTCCGCGTCTTGCTACCGGCTTATGCATGAAAATACCCCATTGCTTCCTTCTGTCTACCAGCAAGGCTGGGTTTTGGTCAGCGAAATGGGGTGGGGAGAACGCGGCTTGGACGCCAGGAAACGGCATTGCACAGGCCTTGCATTGCGGTTGTCTTTTTGTTTTGTAGGATCAAGGATCAAATTGGGGTGGGGTGGGGTGGGGGTCAATGTTCCCTCTAAGCTGTGAAGCCTTGTGAGCAAAAATTCTGCTTTGTGAGCTACTGGCATTAAAGTTGTGAGCGAGCGATTTGGGTACTGCATGAATTAGTTTGCTCTGGAGCCCTCCTTCCTGAGATAAGACAAAAATGTGCGAGCCGGAGGCTAAAAAACTGTGAGCCAGCTCACACTAACTCAGCTTAGAGGGAACACTGGTGGGGGTGTTGCTTGCAGTTTTTTAAGCCTGCCTCCGGTGGGACCTGGGGACCCCCAGGAATTACAGCTCATATCCAGACTACAGAGATCAGTTGCCCTGGAGAAAACGGGTGCTTTTGGAGGGAGGAATCTATAATGTTGTAGAGAGAGAGGAGAAGAAGAAGAGATTGGATTTATACCCTGCCCTTTACTATCTGAAGGAGTCTCAGAGCGCGTACAATCTCCTTCCCCTTCCCCTCCCCACAACAGACACCCTGTGAGGTAGGTGGGGCTGAGAGATCTTTCGAGGACTGCTCCAGAGAGAACAGCTCTGAGGGAACTTGTGACTGACCCAAGGTCACACCAGCAGCTGTACACGGAAGCGTGGGGAATCAAACCCGGTTCTCCCAGATTAGAGTCTGCCGCTCCTAAGCACTACACCGAACTGTACCCCATTGAGGTTCCTGTTCTCCCCAGGCTTTGTCCCCAAATATCCAGAATTTCCCCAACCCTGGCAACCCTTACCCTCCATCCCCTGCCCGTGGTTGGGGGGGACCTGGCGACCCTGCTCACAGTCTTTTAGCCTCCGGCTCACACATTTGTGTCTCAGCTCAGGAAGGGTGGCTCCAGGGCAGACTAATTTATGCAGGAGCCAAATAATCGCTCGCTCACAAAGTAGCTCACAAAAGTAGATTTTTTGCTCACAGGACTCCACAGCTTAGAGGGAGCACTGGCCTCGTGTTGACAGTTGACACCCATGGAAGTCGACGGGATTACAGTTGCCAGGTTGGGAAATTCGTGGAGGTTTGTGAGTGAAGTCTAAAGGAGGGCAAGGTTTGGGGAAAGGGGAGCTCCGCCGGGCATTATGCCGAAGAGGCCACCCTCCAAAGCAGCCATTTTCTCCAGGGGAACCGATCTCTGTGGCCTGGAGATCCATTGTAATTCCCGGAGATCTCCAGGCTCTACCTGGAGGTTGGCAATCCTCGGTTAGAAGGGTGGGTAACCATGTCTCAGGACAGACCAAGGGCCCAGTGTCATGTTAGGAGATCAGTTCCCCCCCCCCCACAGGTGAAATAGCCTCTCTGCAAAGCTCCAACTGAAACGGAGGCAGTGATACATTTGTGGAGAGGTTAACCGTTGCCCCTCTGTCTGATTTACCTCCCCCTCTGTCTGTTAACCTCAGAAGGGGAACTGTGCTTGCATTTAACTGGTTTTTGATCAGCAAAGGGGTGGGGAGAATTTAAACCACATCGGCCTGCTGACACTGTGGTAGCGGTCTGAACTGTGGTCCTGCGTGGCTCTTTGGGTCACAGGCCCAAACAGCTGCTTGGCATGCAGAGACACACAGAGGCAGAGATCCAAGGCAAGAGGACTGCCTCGCAAGCCAAGGCAGATTGTTCCTAAGAATAAAGGTTTCTTGGGTGACACTGTCTGAGCCAGGAATTTTTTGTTCAGGGGCAGGGGTCATTTCCTGCAGGAGCGCACAGGAGCGGAGCTCCGGCAGTAAAGAGCCCAGGGGGCGGGCACATGCAACAAGCCCCACCCCCTGCTCCCAGCAGCCCTCAGTCAGAGCAAGAAGCAGCCAGGTAAGTTGCAGAGCTCCTCCTGCCCCCCCCCCGGTCCAAAACAGTCCAGTGGCACCTTTAAGACCAAGTTTTATTCAAGTACAAGCTCTCCCTCCTTTGTGAGGACAGATCTGCACGTTCCCCCCCCCCCAATAGCTAGCAATCCAAAAGAGTCCAGTGGCGCCTGAGCGGTGGGTGTAGCCTTCTGACACACTTCCGGTGATGTCAGGGGGTGTGGTGTATACAAATAAGTTATGCTAATGAGTTATGCTAATGAGCTCCTGCACCTCTTTTTCTACAAAATGCCCCCTGTTAGGGGGGGCATTTAAATTTTTAAGGGGGAAGTTAAATTACAGGTAATTAAATTAATCTGAATGCCTGTCTTTAAAGGGGGAGGCTCCGTGTCTGTTTCCAGGCCTTCCTTTCCAGGGTCAAGGCAGCCACTGTGTCAGTTCTTAGGGGGGAAAAAACAGGTCAGAGAACCTTTAACTGCCTTCAGAAGGCATTTAAATGCCTTTTGAGTTCCGTTCCACCGGGCACGAAAGCATGTTTCCGAAAGGTCCATGGGAACGGCTTTGAAAGACTCACCGTCACCTAGGTGGTATTCAGCAGCTGGACTGGGCTGGCAGAAAGGGGGATTGTTGGAGGTGTACTGAAGGCAATGGCTTCCTTTAAGCTGTGGTGTCTTGTGAGCAGAAATTTAACTTTGTGAGCTACTGGCATTAAAGTTGTGAGCGAGCCATTTGGCTGCTGCATCAATTAGTTTGGCTCTGGAGCCCTCATTTCTGAGCGAAGGCAAAAAGGTGTGAGTTGGAGGCTAAGAAACTGTGAGCTGGCTCACGCTAACTCAGTTTAGAGGGAACATTGACTGAAGGTGCCACTCTTGAGCACTGCTCCCTCTAAGCTGAGATAGTGTGAGCTAGCTCACAGTTTTTTAGCCTCCAAGTCACACGTTTTTGTCTTAGCTCAGGAAGGGTGGCTCCAGAGCAAACCGATTTATGCAGTAAC